GGGACCCCAAACCGCGGGGCCGAGTCTCCGCGTGGCGCAGCCTGGAGCTGAGCCGGCCACGGCAGTCGGTGCTCGCGGGCCGGGTCCTCCCCCGGCCCCGCCGGAGCTGCTCCTGGGAGACCCTCAATGGCTCTTTTCAGCCTTTTGTTGCTGGGCAGCTGTGTTTTTGTTTTCCTTGCCCCTCTCTCGCCCGGGCTCCGGCTCTGGCAGGACTCGCAGGCTCAGCTCCAGTATCCACCCGCCGCCGCCGGCCCCCTGCTCGCCGGGGCCGCAGAGATGAAAAGGCAGCGCCTCGGCGCTCCCGCTGCTCGCCTGCTCTCCCGGCCTCCGAGGAAATGTTTAACTTGAAGTGGTGAAACCGAATATTTCCTGCTCTGAAAGCCGAGACGCATATGCACCCCTGGGCTGAGGATTTTTTCTGCCGGCTCCTTTGGAGGGAGGCTGCAAGCAGATCCCAGCCCTGGCAGGGATCAAACTGAACCCTCCTGTTCCTGTTGGAGACCCTGGGACAAATCCTGGTCTTTCTTACACCAGTCAGAAAGCAACATAATTCTGCTGATTCCCTCAGTCCTCCTTATTCACTGCAAGGTGACTGGAAACAGGACCGGGGGTTCCAGACTTGGAGCCGGCCTGCGGTTTTGGGGAACACTCACAGTATCGGCAGTCGCCCCCTCTGCAGCCCCATCATACATCCCACATGAAGAGCTCCGTGTCCTGAGCCAAAGGAAGGGCTGGCAGGAGCCTCCTTACCCCGGCATTGCCTCGGGGTGCTCGGCAACTGTGCGAGATCCCACCAGGAGATCCCACCACGAGATCCCTCCACAAGATCCCACCACGAGCTTGATGGCAAGATGGGAGCCTGCAAGGACTCAGGAGGGGAGCAGCATCCCTGCTGGGGAGCCTCTTTAGCTCCTCTGATGATTTCCTTCCGTCTGGCTTCATCCCCTTGAGTTTCTGAGACAGCCGACGCAGAGATGCGCTATGAACCCATGTACTAAGGAAGGCCACGCTGAAGCGAATCCCTTCCCTGCCTGCTGCACACAAAATGGGAAATCCTGTCTTGCAGAGCATTTAAGTGGAAAAACACCGAGGCAGCCAAGTGCTGCCCAGCGCACGACGCGGGCAGCCCCTCGGCACCGCGTAGCACGGAGCGTGCAGCGCTCCCACGTCGCTCTGAATATGCAAAGCTCACAGGACGCGAGGGCTGGTTCCAACCAGAGCTCAGCGCGTTGCCAAATTAATGGAATAAATGGTTTTTGATTCTCTTTGCTCAGCGGCAGCCGGCGCATCCCCGCAGGTGCCTCCCCGGGCAGCAAGGGGTGCCCAGGTGGCACACGCAGGTAGGAAACGCTCACGGGGAACGTTCCCTGCTGCGGATTGACCAGGGACCTGCTCGCTTGGTCCTAAGGGCCATCATGGGGCAGGTAACCGGAGGGCACCTTCTCACCGTCCCGTCCTTCCCCCTGGCTGTCTGAAACTCTCCCTTCCTTCACCTTGCCCCTAGGAGGATGAGCGCTTCTCTCCCAACTCCCAATTTTCCAGTATCTCAAGCAGTTTTCCACTTGTCTGAGTACTGAACTCCCATTCCCCTGAGAGAGATGCCTCCCTCCATTTCAGCCTCCTATTTTCTCCCTCTGTCTCTCTTTTAAACACTCCATCATTTAAAACCAATCAAAGCCAGTGGATCTGAAACTCTTTTGAATAGAAATGACCCCATTCTGGGGCCCTGTGGCCCTGAGTTGTGCTTCTTGGGCTGCTCCAAACCAGGTGGGTGGTAATGGAAGTGCTGACACAGGCTTCTTGACAGCATCACCACTGCCAGCGCCTGTAATAATCCCTCCTGGCTCCCCCTCAACTCAGTTTCCACGGCGATTATTTTCCATTCGATGATGGGCCGGCTGTTATTTGTGTACTGATAGCAGAGATCTCGTGTGACAAGCCTCCTTCCCTTCCAGCTCAAAAAACAATAATTCAAAGAAAGCCCCATATTAGCTTGGAAATAGCCAAACGCCAGCGCTTCTCCCCACCAGCTGCGCGGCATCCAGCAGGGACCGGGGAGGGACAGGCCGGGGAGGATGACGGTCGCGGGTGGGTGACGGGGAGATGGCACACGGGGCGGCTTCCAGGGCAAACCTGTTCAGTAATAAAGTTAGAGAGCGTGAACAGCGATGCTCTTCGCTGTTCCATCTCCCTGACCATCGGACTGGACCATGCAAGGTTATTCCTGGTGTGATTCCGGTGCCATGCCCTGACTGTGCCCTTTTCCACAGCGACAGAGGCTGCGCCGCGCGTGCACTCTGGAGGTCTGCGTGGGCCAGGAAGGGAGATGGGCCCTGAGAAGTGGCTTTCCCTGTTCAAAAAGGCTTTTGAGGAGGCACCTCTCTTCTCTTTGCAGAGCAAAGCGGCCACAGGGCACCAGCACAGTGGGACCCCGGTTTTGTTTGCCATGGTGCAAGCAGGAGCTTGGCACGGGGCCGCTCCGGCTCGCCTCACACGGGAGAACTGAGCTGGATGGGGGTCAGAGAGGCAACTTCCCACAGCCACACGAGCGAACTGGGGCGCAGCAAAGAGCTGAGCTGGGCCCCGGCATCCCGGCGCAGAGCCCTGTCCAGAGCGCTGCTTCCGCGGCAAAGCCCCGACCAGCATAGCAAGTGTACCTATTTCTCCCGAGGCAAAAGAACTACAGATGGATCTAAGGCAGAAAAGCTTGCTAAGATATTGATTTTCTTCCGAAGGAATGAGCTGCTCTTGCAGCT